TTGTACATTTTTTCTTTTACCACTTGATTATATGACATATTGTGTTGACATGGGCTTCTGAAATCCTTATGTTTTCATCTTTAGTCAGCTTAATAATTAGGATGTCATCAAATGAGGCTAACGTGCCTGGAAGCCCAGAAAATAAAGTGTCTGGGAAGGAGTAGAAACTTCCAGGAGCAACAGAAATTCTCAACTGACCTTCTCAATTCCCTGCCTTCACATCTGCTCCATAGTCTGCACTTCTGTATCTTCTGTGTCACGGGTGATCACATCTTCTGTGTGGAGCTGCTCTAAATAGAGAAACTAAACACGGAACCTTCATGCCCTTCTCCTTTTGTGTCTCCTAGTTTGATCATGAAGTTCTTCAGTTATCTTGTGTCATCAAATTCCTTGACCCATCATTATTTTCTCAGTCTTGAAAAAGATCTCCCTCTCCAGGAAAGGAGGTTTATTATGATAAGCATATGATGAAAATGTGCATTTCTGTTTGATCTCTCTATCAGTGAATCTTGTTGCCCCTGAATGTGCACAGCTCCTAGTGAGAAGGATCTTTCTTCAGGAGTAATACAATCTGGTCTCCTGTGAGGCAAGGCTTGGTTTTGGCCTTGTCCTTTAAAAATTCTGACGCTTGCCCTTGCTGCTGTCTCCTCACATCATTTTATGCAGAAGCAATTGTTTCTTTCCACCTGAGGCTTGAATTTCTTACAGGAGACACATTCCAGTCCTGACTGTTTACAGCCCAATTCGCTGCTTATGGTTTGAGCTCTCCCTGTGATCAAAACTCTACTAGTGGTGTGTGTGCATGGCATGTTACCACTTGGTTTGCTTTCTTTTAGAGTGAGGCAACCAATAGAATGAGTAAAAGAAAAGGAGGAGTGATTTGCAGGGTCAGTGAGGGCCTGGGAGTCAAGACCTAAGGGCTTAGAATTTACTGAGTCAGACCTAAGGGCTTAGAATTCACTGAGGAGTTCCTTTCTTGTGGGACCAAGTACAGTAGTAATTATAATATACTATTGTGTATATAAATATAATTGTGTATAGGGAGAGTTATAGAGTCCTTTCTCTATAGTGTATATTTATATATACATAGATAAACATGATCATTCAAGTCATTTCAGTGATTTTCCATTAGTTTTATGATAAATAAAATATTTCATATGGCTTCTGACTTCATCTGGCTCCCTGCCTACCTCCGCATCTTCAACCATGTTACTCTACCTCTTCTCTCTCTTGAGCTGTTGCTTCTTCCCACCATAGGTCCTTTGTGCAAATAGTTCTCCCTGCTGCCAGCAATGACCTCCTTCTCCGCTAGCTCTTTACCTAGTTATTAACTCTAGCTCTTTACCAGTTATTAACTAGGTAAAGTGAAAAATGATCTCAGAGCTGGGATGTGAGAATTCATAGTTATTAACTGGCTTCATAGCTCCCAACCAAGACAACATTAGGTCCACCTATCCCAAGATCTCATTGTTTGGGGGGCTGAGGTTGGAGGATTGCTGGAAACCAGGATTTGAGACCAGCCTATGCAACACAATGAGACTCCATCTGAGTAGTCCTAGCTACTCAGGTGGCTATGTGAGGAGGATCTTTTAAGCCCTGCAGTTTGAGGCAGCAGTGAGCTAGGATTATGCCAGTATACTCCAGCCTGGGTGACAGAGAGAGACCCTGTCTCTTTAAGTAAGATCTCATTCGGTTTTGTACTTTTCTTTTCCAGTGCCTGCAATTATTTATGTGAATGTTTGATTAATGCCTGCTGCTTTATTAGAATATATGTCTCATTTGTCTTGTCATTTTCTACCCATTGTACTTAGAGCCTAGCACATAGCAACAAATATTTGCCAAATACATGAATCAGTGTACTTTATGAACTTAGTCAAAATAATTTTAAAGGTAAGTACTGATCGTTCCTATTTTAGAGATGTAAAAACTATGGCTCTTAAATTATGTAAATTGTCTGATATCACATAGGTTAATTATTAATAAATGTCTTGGCTGGGATTCATTTTGCTATTTTATCCCCCAGGCCTTATTGGGGCAAGGTTGGCTTTTTAAGGATCTTAGTTGGACCAGACATTTTCTTCAGAGTTTCAGTGTGAAATTTAATAATTTTTTATTTGTGATATTAACATATGAAATAGGGCTTGATTTGAATACAAAACAAACCAAAAAAACCCCTCCAGTTTAAATGAACTTAGAATGTTGAAGCAAATTTTGAAAAAGATATTTTGTGTCATTAAAAATGATGACATTTAAAAATGCTTATGATATGCTGTTATATGAAAAAATGCAGTCTAGAAATTCATGTACAATAAGATATTCACGTAATTGCCTGACTAGTTCTTCTTGCCTGCTGTGGAGATAAAAGCCAATTTGCTGAAACATCAGTGTTACAGTAGAGAAACAGTTTAATAATCACAGGGACAGCAAAGTGGAAGTATGGGAGACATTCCTCAAGTCAGCCTCTCAAACAACTCGGAGTCTAGTACTTAAAGAGTAATTTGGTAGGCCGGGGAGAAGGATTGGGTGCTACTGATTAGTTGAGGATGAAATCTTAGGAGCATCCAAATTATGTTAGTACTCTGAGTGAGTTTCTGGGTGGGGGTCCCAGGACTGGTTGTATCACTTCCTTCCTATGACTCACTGGTCTGGGTAGAGTCAGGTCATTCACCAGAATGCCAAGTCTTGCCAAAGTCTGAAAAATATCTTAAAGACCAATCTTAGGAGGTTTTGACAATAGTGATGTTATCCGTAGGAGCAATTTGAAAGTTACACATCTTTGATTTCTGAAACAGTAAATCCTAATAGAAAAGTAAACAAGGGAACAATGCTGGTTATCATTTAACTATGCCATATCTTAGCAGAATTCAGGTCCCTGTCATGTTTCTCTCAAAGGTAGTTTCCTTAATAATGTAAAAGTACATACAAATAAACTAGAAAGAAGAATGGCTACCTAAGTATTAGTAGTTGCTTCTTCTGGGTAATGATATCATGCAGTTTTTTTCTATCTTGTACTTCCCCAATTTTCTATAGTGATAAAGTATTATTTTTTAAAGTTCTTATTTAAAATATGTTTATTAAATAAATACTGTAGCAGTAACAGGGAACAAATAATTATTAAAAAAAAAACTCATAATCTTACCTGAATCTTTATAAAATCTATTTGGTGATCTTTAGTCCAATTATATTCTGGGGTTCAGCTGCTATGAGTTCTTCACTTTTCAATGATCATTGACTAGTTATCTTTGCTTAAAACTATTATGTTTTCTGGTTTATTATAAAGGATATTAACAAGGATACAGATGAAGAGATATGTCAGGCAAGGTATAGGAAGGGGTATGGAGCTTCCATTCCCCTCTGGGGCATGTCATCCTTCAGGAACCTTCACATGTTTAGCTATCTGGAAGCTTCTTAAAAATTTAAACTTTCATATTGATAAAATACATATTTAAATATATGTTTGAGGCTGCAGGAAAAAATATACACTTCTTGACTTACTAAAAGGAGATGAACACCCTACAAAATATAAACTTATTGAATGTGTCTGATCCAAAATTTGGAAAAAAAACTTTTCTTCACATTATACATTCCAACACAGATTGTGACTTCACATTTACTTATTCACTTCCTACCTCATCATTCTCCACAAAAAAGCAAGCAGACAACCTGTGTAGCTTCACAGTTGTCAATGGTTCCTTGCAATACCTTGGCTCAAAATCCTTGTACCTCACTCACAGCTTTGTTGCAGATTTTCTTTGTAATTTGAGAAACACTAATGCATTGTTTTTGACGCTAACTTTACTTTTGCTGTCATGGATAAGGGAGAATGTTTAAGGGTTTATGTGATATCTCCTTAATAGCATTCCTTACCAAATCAAGCAACAATATAAATAGAATAAAACCTTGTTATAATGTATTACTTGAGATCTATTTTAGCTACCATTGTATTACCTGGAAGCAATCATTTGGTTGATTTATTATCATTTACCAACTATGTATTAATTGCCTAACATTCTTCAGATATCACTTTGGGTCTGGTAGGATGACGAAGACTAAGATTAAGACATGATGAATACAATCTCCCAGTTCCTCTCTACCAGCACTGTATAACAGAACTTTATGTGGTGATGGAAATATTCTGTGTCTGTGCTGACTAATACAATAGCCACTAGCCACATGTGGCTACTGAATGCTTGACATTTAGCTAGACTGTGGATCTGAATTGTTAATTTAATTGTTAATAACAGCTTTATTGGAATATAATTCACCCATTTCCAGTGCACAATTCAGTGATTTTTGGTGTATTCAGAGTTATACAACCATCAGTCAGTTTTAGAACATTTTCATTATCCTGACAAGAAACCCAGTATTTATTAACAATCACTCCCCATCTTTCCTCAGCTTCCACTGCTTTATGCAGCCACTAGTGTTTTTTCCGTCTTGATGGATTTGCCTATTTTAGACATTTCATATAAATAGAATCATAATATTTGGCTTTTTGTTACTGGCTAATTTAATTTTAGTTTATTTAAATTTAATGATCACGTGTAGCTAGTGGCTACCGTAAGAAGCAAGTGAAGTGAAAGACCAAAGATAGGTGCTTAAGGAATGCTGAAGACCCAGGAGAAGAACATTCTGCAGAAAGGGTATGTGCGAAACAGAGAGCTAGGAGATGAACCTGGACAGAGCCTCAAGATAAAACAGGTTCATGAAGGAAGAAATGGTTAACAGTACCAAATAATAGAGGGGTCAAAAAGTATAGTTCAGTGTGATAATAAGCATCCTGATGACAGAGGGCACTAGAATGTGGTCTTGGTGAGGAGGTGAGTGCAGGTGGCACTCCTATGTCATTACAGATGAAGGGGACAACAAATCAATTGATATTGAATTAATAACATCACTTTAGACTAAGCTTTCCATGTAGATATTTTAGAAATTAAAGTCGACTTTTGTGGTATGGTCAACATATAAATAATATTTACCTGTGTATTTATTTCTTTTAGGCTTTTAAAACCAAGGATGGCTATCTTGTAGTTGGAGCAGGAAATAACCAGCAGTTTGCCACCGTGTGCAAGGTAATCTGTAATTACTGGGTTTGGTTGATGATCTTGTACAAAGCCAGGGAAATTTCAGTTTTTCCCAGGTCATAACCAGCTTAGGCCTCCTGTGTTGGCACCTGAAAGTATAGGATTTTCATGTTTTTAAAAGATAAGGCAGAGTCTAAATTAACATTCAATGTTTTTTTTTGTGGTATCTATCTGTATTCTAAGATGAAGAATCATGGTAGCTTAAATTGTCCTAAAATTTGACCTGCCTACCAGTCCAAACAAAATGGAAAAGAAACAAATCATTTTTAAAGGGACTTTTAACACTGGAATTTTTTTCTTTTTTCCCCTTCCTCCTTCCCTTCCTGTCTTCCTTTCTTCCTTTTATTCTCTCCCTCCTTCTCTTTCTCTTTTACTGTATCAGGTTAATTGGACCCATATATAGCTAAGTTACTCCCATATTTATTTTATTTACTACTGGAAATTTTCGAACTATTTTTCAATTTAACCTTTATTTAATGAGTACCTTTCTGAAGAATTTATGTTTTAAGGTTTTAGGAATTAAGATTATATTAAAATTGTTCCTTCTCAACAAGGCCTTCAAATAAAGGCTTTGGAATCATTTAAAATAATTTATTCTTAGGGATATTCTAAACCTGTAGCATTTACTAGACTTCACAATCTCAGATCACTGCAACCTCTGCCTCCTGACTTCAAGTGATTCTTTTGCCTCAGCCTCCTGATTAGCTGGGATTACAGGTGTGTACCGCCACACCCTGCTGTTTTTTATATTTTTAGTAGAGACAAGGTTTCACCATGTTGGCCAGGCTGGTCTGAACTCCTGACCTCAAGTGATCTGCCCATCTCTGCCTCCAAAGTTCTAGGATTACAGACGTGAACCACTGCACCTGGCCTACTAGGCTTTTTCCTTTTTTAAAAAAATTTGATGTTTATGTTATTTATCAAGACTTTGGTGTTTTGTTTAGGCCTTTGGTATCCGTTCACTTTTTCTAGTTTCAATCCAAGGAATAGAATCTCCTTTTTATTTTTCTTAAATATATCCAAAGGCCTTACCTGTTGAGAATTTTTTTGAGACACAATCAGTTTTTGTACTAAATTTTACCATGAGCTTTCTGTGTAATCAAAGATGCCTATAAAATTCTGAATCTCATTTGTTGTAGTTAACTTATTATATACAAAAATTATTTATTACTGTGCCTCTTATGAGAAGTTAGGGAGCAGAGCTAAAAACCACAGCAAAGGAGTGGGAAGGACCATGGAGAGGGTGACAAGTGGAGATAGTTCTGATTGCAGGAAGGGCTGAAACATCTGAGTCGGGAAAGAGGGGAGCCTTTTAAATGGTGACTCTGAGTAAGTGTAGGGAAAATCAATTCAAACATTTGATCTGGGATCAAAGAATCTTTATTATGAACGGTCAATGTTAAAAATATGAAACATACGGAAGCTGTTGCCTGTGAAGTCATTTGCGTACTCTAACTGCAGAGATGTAAAAGCCAGTTCATTGCTATAAACGAGTACAGATTTTCTTCCTGGGCCATATGTTTTGGAGTTTTCTTTCTCTAGAAAGTGGTGGGGTTGGGGGTGGGAGGGCCAGGCAGTGAAAATTACTGGTTGACATACTCTTTACTTTTGAAAATAACTGTACTGAGTTCTTTTTAGTTTTGATTCATTACTGCGGATCAAGTTAGCACTTTTGAATTTCCTCATAAATATCCATAAGAACAGTTTTCGACAAAGGTTCTTATTTCAAAGCAGAATATTTGCCAGAAGTTTTGGTGCTGAAATATGACTTATTGTTTTGGTGTGTTATAACACATTTTTTATAAAGGAGACTATCAGAGGGCCTTAAGAATGGCACACTTGACCTTGCTTTTCCCATATGTGAGTTAGGAATGATAATCCCTGTTATGAGCCGTTAAGCCAATATCTATAAAACTCTTTGAGATTCTCAGAAGATTTATGTGTACAGAATTCTCAAGTTATTTACATTATTAACTAGGCATCCTGTGGAATGTTGCAATCTGATTGACTTTTTCAAATCTTTATAATTATGTCCTTACATGTAAACTTGTCCTAAAAACCTTCTTACCTAAGAAAAATCTTCTGTTCTTCCATTCTGAAGCAAGGTTTTCCGCCCTTCCCGGTCATGGGTATTGTGTGGATTTCTTCTAAGCATTTTTTTTCACTCAGATTTATTATTACCTAGAGCCTTGTTATTCAAACTGGGCTTATAGAGGATGAGGTTCCCAGTTCTTCACAGCGAGCCCCTCAAAACCATTATTCTGTCAAGAACGCTCCATCCGAAAAGATGGGGCAGCTTTACTTCCTGGGGAGAAATGTGGCAGCACTGCCTGTGACAAATGAGTGGAATTGACTTATGCCTACTCTCTTTCCAAAATAGAATTGATATAGTGATAGACTGATACTTCTTGGGGAGGAGATGTATTAGTGAACTTTCATTGTAAAGGGTTGGAGTGGGAGCAAGAATGTTGGATTCAAGCCTGAGGGTCCAGATAATCTTCTTGTGTATAAAATGAACTTTGTTCGTGACAAGTCCTACTTAATGTTCCTTACCAAGATACAGCAAAGTAGGAAAGTAAACATATGTAAGCTATTTTAAGCTGATGGATGCCACCCCTAATGGTTATTCCTATATGAAGTATTGAATATTGACATCCTTTCAAAAGTAATGTAGATTCAAGAATTCTTTTATTGGAGAGAATATACACTGGTTCTCAATGTAGTATGCATAGGAATGTCCTTTAGCCCAATTCCCAAAGATTTTACTTTAGTATGTCTGGGGTGAGGTAGAGGAAACTTCAATTTTAAGAAGCATTGTAGGTAATTTTGAAGCAGGTTTTTAGACTACCCGCTCCAAAATATAATATATCCAAGGTATAATGTTTAAAGCCTACTATAAGTCTTGTCATTAGGCAGGTGAACTCTGTCAAGGTCCTCAATCTTTTCTAAGCATCTGTTTTCCTATGTTTAAAATGAAGATTATAATATATACCTATATACAACTTGGGAGTTTGGTAAGTGTTAGAGAAGTAAAGCACTTAGAATAGGCGTTGTTCATATGCACTTAATAAATGGCATCTATGAAAATTAGATGTGATGATTCTGGTTCTGGGGAGGATAGAGTAAACATACCTTTCCCTGTCTCTTACCCCAAGCATGGTGACCATACCTGAATAGAATTCAAAGTCTTTTAATACGTGCTCCATGGATTCATGGAGCACGTATTAAAAGACTTTGAAAAGTAAATAGTAAGAGACTTGGGGAGAACACCCGAATTTGAAGTACCTCTAACTGGCAGTCAACTTACCAGCTTTTTCCTCCAGTTATTCCTTCGCTTGAGTATAGTTGAACCTGAAACCTGGAAGTGAGCACTAGGCAACACAGCAGATATCCAGGAAATGCTCTTTATTCCTGGTGCAAAGAACATGAAAAAGTAAGCTGTAATGTCAGAGGGAGTGTGGAAGTAGTTTATTTCCCCCTTCTTTCCATTTTCTTATACCCTAGACCCCAAGTAATCCTGTATTGGAAACAGCAGATGAGCAGGAGCCAACTCTGAGAAAGAGAAACTTTCTTCATTGCTGAGCTGTGATCCCAAAGAAACGATTGAATCCCTGTTGCTTTTTTCCCCTCCGTCCTCTTATTGCATGGCCTGTGCCCTGAAACTACTGGGGAATGGGATAACTAAAGCAGGAGCCCCAGGGAACTGGAAAATGCTATAGAGATTGCAGAGAGAAAATCTTGACAAAGCAATCCTTGACGTTGTTTATGAACTCCTGGGATCATCCCTTACTTGCATATGCACTAATTTGGTCCTAATCAGCATACCAAAGATGATAGGAACTGAATTAATAAGTAGACAACTTCCCAGGTTGTCACATGACCATTAGGTTTGGCACATACAAGTCAGACTCAAATGACACTGCAAAGGCTTTGAAAACTTAGTCAACATGAGAATCAAAGCACATTGAAAGTGGGTTAGAATTTGCAGCCTGAATGTAACCAGGTCTATTGTCTGCTAAAACAGCAAGAGTAACAATTCTCCTTAGAATTTAAATGAGACACAGTGGTTCATAATATAGTTATGTTATAGTTCAAAATGTTCAGGATACAGTCCAAAATTACTCGGCATACAAAGAACCAGAACTTGTGTGAGAAAAGGCAATCAATAAATGCCAATGTGAAGATGACGCAGATGTTGGAATTAACTCACAAAGATGTTTATATAGCTATTATAACAATGCTCTAATAAGCATCACAAACACTGTTTAAATAAATGGGATATAGAAATATTCAGCAAAGAAATACAAGGCATGAAGAAGAACCAAAGGGAAAATTTAAAATTTAAAATTATAATAACCAAGAAAAAAAATTTCACCTCACTAGTTGAGCTCAATATTGCAATGAAGATAACAAGGAACTCGAAGATAGATCAATAGAAATTATTCAATCTGAACAATAGAAAGAACAAAAGATAGCTCCTTCTTACTCAAAATAAGAAAGAACAGATCTTCAGAAACATGTATGACAATAACAAGGTCCAATATTTATGTCACTGGAGTCTCAGAATGAGGGGAGAACATGTACATGCTGAAAAAATATTTGAAGAGGTAACAATTGTATATACCAAATTTGGTAAAAGTTAAATGCCCATAGATTTAATAATTTTAGTAAACCATAAATGGGATAAACTGAAAAAAATCTATATGTGAATATATAATATGTCCCTTAACAACAGGTATATATCCTGAGAAATGTGTCAGTTGGTGGTGGTATGTGAATATCATAGAGTATACTTACACAAACCTAGATGGTATAGCCTGCTACACACCTAGGCTATATGGGATAGCCTATTCCTCCTAGGCGATAAACCTGTACAGCATGGTATATGTTATTGCACTCAATACTATAGGCAATGGTAACACAATGGTTAACACAAAATCATCCAGAAAGATAACCTAGAGAAAAAAACAATGTATTATCTATGGGGG